TAGCTACTAAATTATATAATATTTAGTAAAATAATGCTAATTAAAAAATATTTGTTTATAATATAATCAAAATAAATTATTTTATTTTTCTAAATATAATTTAGTAAGCATTACGAAATACTTACCGTAATAAATTTAACATCAGTTTTGGATATTATTTTTATTTATAAACTACATTTATTACATTTATATAGTAAAATAAAGAAAACTTCTGTTAATTTATGAATTTATCAAATATAATAATTATATTACACAAGTATGTACTTAACTGATTTTAAAAGATAATGTAATCGTGTAAAAAATATTCTGGAACATTTTAAGACATAAGAACACTTTTTAAGATATCCCTCATTAATTTATGTTAATAAGATATGTAAACATCACAACTTGAAGTTAATATTTTGAATTATATTTACATAAAGCAACACAGTTATCAAAATTATACAGTCTGTCAAAAGCGTGGAAACCTTTTAATATTTTGGAAACTACTAAACATTCTTGAGAAAAATGTTTCAAACAAAAGTTGTAGGGTTTAAAAAATCTATTTACTGATTACATCAGTTTGACCTCCAATGGTGTCATCGAAGTCGGATAAAGGTCATATCGATTTTTTTAAATGGAACACTTCATTTTTTTATGCCAAAATCTAGTAACTGATGTCAACAACTTTTCAAAACACTATAATAAAATTATTTTCTATTAAGTATTTTTCGAGTTATAAGGCTTAAAAGTTACAGTACCGGCATTAACATTACGCAAGATGTCCGACTGACCTCTTAAATGTTGTTCAGGATCGATTTACAAAACTTGTCAAAATCAAGGCCAATGGAGGTTATATCTCTTACTTTCATTTTTACGTAAATTATAAGTTACAAAAATTTGAAAAAAAAAAACGATTTCTTAAGGTAAAAATAATAACAGAGATAAAAGGACTTGAGGGAATAAGCGCTGTTTAAAATGCGCTAATTATTCAAGAACATCTCTCAATATTCAATTAAATTTATTGAAGAGAACAAACATAGAATAGAACAAATCGTTAAAATAATAAATTCGTATGTTGATTAGTTTTCTAATCTTTTTCAGCGAAAAATATACGCGACAAAGTTACATAATTAATATTGCATTATCTACGCATACAAAATTGAAAAATGTAAATCTATTCTTTATAGTCTATTCTTTATAATCAGGAGAGCCAAACTAAGTTCTCTGTCGACAATACATTCTCCTGTATTAGTTACAAGACTGGATGGAAATCACAAAATCGGTGCCTTTAATAACAAAATGTGGATTCTGGAATAAAAAATGGAATGTTCTAAAAAATCGATGTGACCTTAATTTGACCTTAACGATGCCAAGATCAAACTGACTGTAATCAGTAAATAGATTTATTTAAATTCTATAATTTTTGTTTAAAACATTTTTCTCAAGAATGCTTAGTTTTCAAAATATTAAGGGATTTCCACATTTTTGGCAAACCCTATATGTTTAATAAATGTTAAAAATCTTGCAATAAACGTAATAAACTAAAAAGTAAATGTTTAAACTCTAATACTTTTTTAAAGTAATTAATAATTTTATAAACGTTCGACATTCATTAAACTTTTTTTTACTAAGTTAGAATACTGTTTTTAGACGAGATAGATTTTTCGAAGATTTTCTAAGATTTTCTATATATAAGCGTACAATATCTGTTTAATGTTTTTATACAATATAAAAAACGTTCCGCAAACGTAAATTATTTACTTAAGTAATATGCATATTCATATTCATATGATATAAGTATTATTTGTTAAATTTAGTAAAAAAAATATAATTTTTGTTAAACTGAAGTTTTAAAACATTTTATTTTCTAACATTTTAAATAAAAATCCTTTTTCCTTTAAAAACATTGTTAATAATTTATTTATTTATTTAAAAAACCGGCCAGCCGATTTTTGATTTAATAAATTATAAGGATAATTGCATAATAATGTTGAAGGAAATCGTGAATAATAATTGAAAATGCAATATAAACTGTGTTTTGATATTTAGCCATTATTGAATATAATACGTAACTTAAACTATAGATTTTCAGTACTGGCAATGTATTAGTACATGACCTGATTATTGTAAAACAAGTTTCTATTCACTTATTATTAAAGTTATACTAGATGGTTTTTACTCAAGTATAGCAATAAAATTTCATTTCCTTTTACTTGATCTTGTTTTTCAAATCGATCTTTTTATTATTGATAATATTGATTGCGTAATGAAAACGTGAAAGAAAAGTTATGCTAATTATACCGCGCATAATATAATGCAATGTGATGATGAAATGCTAATAGCTTAATGCTGAGTACTGTAAATATTTTAATATTTGACTTCTATTTTTATAATTTTTAATGTTAGAATAGCACTTACATTGGCATGAATTTGTCCAATTTTTCATCGTCCATAATATCGACTAAAGTCAAAATTTTGTCTGTTTCCATAGGCGTAGGATAATATCTTTCTTCAATGAAATTATTTACACAATGGGAAAATGCAGTAGATACGTAAACGAATGACTAAAGTTAAATAAATTAGATTTCTACAATTATAAAATTCAAAACTTAATTAAAATAATATTTTTTTATATACCTTTAACTTCGTCATTTCTTTTGCTAAGAGAAGAAGCTGCTTTGTTCCTCTTATATTTATATTTACTGCATTTCGAAGCGATTCATTAAATCGTACAGTCGCTGCTGCGTGAAATATTACATTTGTATCCAAAAGACGTTCTCGATTGTCGTTTGATAATCCGAGATCCAACTTGTTTAAATCGGCATGTATCATTATTACTTTGGTATTAAAATTGGGCTGCTCTTTCTTTAATCTGTCGTAAACCTAAAAAGAAAATTTTGATGACACGGTAAAAATTTTTTACATTTAATTATATATATATTTATAATATTATACTGTCTTATATAATATTAGATGTAGTAAAAAGAAATCCATTATTTTTCCATTCAATTTCATGCAAAAATAATGGATTTCTTTTTACACCTAATATATAAAGATAGATAAAAAGAGTTTGTTGCATTCGTACCCTTCCTAAAGATTTCGAGCGTCTGTGACTGTTTCTTCTTCTCCTGAAGAAGCTACCTCTGCTCTCGTTAGCACTCATCTCTTTCTTCGTAGCGTTGAACTGTGCGGTTGCAAGTTCCTCAGCCCGAGCCTTGTTAGGTATGATACCCTTTTGTACCTCTTGATTGTTTCGTCCAATTCGGAAAACTTGCCAGGATCCTA